AGAACTCCAATAAGGTGTCCATAGGAAGTGAAGTATTTCTTGTGAGATGTTGCCCTTATAGGTTCTGAGCCAGTAGCACTGGTTGTTGAATACTCTGCAGGGTGAGCATATTCCATGAAGAGAGAGACAGGACCAGGGCTCCTTTGGCTCATGCATACATCTGCAAGGCTCTGTTTTTGCTGAACAGACTGGAAACAACCTTCTATGCACCCAATTAGAATCCTTCAATGGTTAACCCCACTGGTAGCAATCATCATAGGCTCCTTGTTAGTTGGAGAATAGTTTCCTTTCTCACTACTTTATCCTTCAATGCCAGGGATTCCAGGTATCCTGTGTTTTTATTTTATAGCTCATAAACTTCTGCTGGGATGAAGTCCTTGTTCGTACACATTTTATGCCTTCTATTGATACCGGAATTGTAGGTTTTCAGGCCTAGTCTTCCAGCCGGGAACAGACCCTAGGCTGCAGGGGCAGCACTGAGTCCCAGCCACTAGACCCCCATGGGTTGGTGTCTCACGAAGCTGCAGCAGGAACTTCGCTGATGCTCAGGCAAGCAAGTAAGAAGAGGCAGGTTTGTTTAGAGAAAGAAAAAGTTTACTGAGGAGAAAAGGAACAGAAATAAAGTGGGATTCCCAGGCCATGAAACCAGGCCAGGGAGGGGCAAGGAAGCCAAAGTGGAGTCATGTCTCAGGGAATATAGACCTTCTTTCCCCAATTATTATTTTCCTTTAGGGTACATAGGACTGTTAGTAATCATCAATGCACATCATCATGCTGTTAGTGTGGGTTTCCACCTTAGACAATGAAGTTCGTGAAATCACACCTTATCACTTCTATATTCTAATGTCTTTAAAGGTGCCTTTGTATTTTTTTAAATAACTAATTTTTTTGGAAGTGGCTTTAGTATATCACAGGTGTTTAACAAATACTCAATGCATGAAGAAAGTGAATGAATAAGAATGTCTTCTTATTCTTTCATACCTCTTCCCTGTCCCCAGATTTTAGCATATATAATAAAGGATCAATGAGGATGGGTGGGGACAGCAGAATTATAGCAAGAGTCTCATCTTTGATCATTTAAGTTCTGGTTTGCAGACTAATAGTTAAGACACTGGAGGAAGTATCTGTCAGTCTTGGCTTTATGTCACGGTGGGTAAGTTGGGAATCAAATGCTCTATGTCACAGGGCATCCATCCAACCTCTACATATCTGTGCCCTGATGATTGAGAGACTCTAAGCATCTTGTTTGGTAGATGGCATAGTTCATATTTCGTATTTACTATCCTTGTTCTCATCATTGTTTAAGATACATATACATTCCAAATCCTCCTTAGTGGATAGCACAGAAGAGAAAGAGATGATCAAATTCTTTCTTTTTTGGGCCTCCCTGGTGGCACAAGGGGTTAAGATGCCACCTATGAAGATATCTGCAGCAACTGTAGCATGAGGTCAATCCCTGGCCAGGGAGCTACACATACAGCACAGCAGACCTCTTTTGACTCACCCGCTGCTCCCCTCAGCAGTGTATTTCCGTCGATCTGCCTGTTCTATTCCCCACTTTGTCTCTGGTGAATCCTCTAGCCCCTCACACCTTGGGCATGTACCCCGGCTCTTGTATGCATAAATAAATAAATCTTTAAAAAAATTCTTTCCCCCAAACTGTGTTATTAAATTAGATCATTATAGGAAAACACATTTCTCAGGAGAGAGTTGAGAAGAAAAACATAACTCAGTATGTGTTTTAATGTACTTGCTATGGAATATTTTTTTTAAAAAAATTCTTTCACAGAAAAAATAAATTCTGTATCTTTGTATCCTTTTTGCCAATTCAGCCTGTGGGCTCATTCTATCCTGAAGGATGATTCTGTCAAGACATGATAATATGACTTGTAATAATATTACCATTTCGTCTCACTTTATAATGTATGAATTAATTAATTCATTTATTATTTATGCATTTATCAAATATTTATTGAGAGCCTTTGCAGCACCAGCTTTTTGATAGTGCTGGAGATTCAGAAAAAAGTTATATGTGACTCCTGTCTCAACTCTCACACACCTGAGCCTGACAGACCCATGCTAGGAACAGGTCAGTGTGCTGTCCCTGACCCATGCTGTTGCTGGCACAAAAGACTAGAAAGAAAGTGACATAAAAAGGGGAGGGTCACGATTTTCTTAGGGGTGAGGGAAGATGAGTGTGTCATAAGAGACTTCTTAGCTAATAAGCTAACATTTGTAGTGGAAGTAGTGATTATAGTCACAATATTTTTATTATTTCTGGGAAAAGCAGTTACTCTCAGGGTCATCCTTTGATGCATGAAAAACATTTCCATTTTTGTCAACTCTTTGCCTGCACATGCAATTTGATTATGACATATCATTAAATGAATGCACCCACGTGATGCAGTGTCACATCAGTGAAAATGTACAATAATGGATACCGAAGATGTTCTTCCGTATTTGTTAATTATCTAATTATTGCTCCTCAAGATTCTTCATGGTACCAGGGCACCATCTCCTGTGTTAAGGCCCAGGAGACATCTCTCTATGCTCTGTATTGTCAAGCGTGCCATTCATGTCCAATTTCATATTTCCAGTGCAAGAAAAATGCAGCATACTCATAATGTCACGACTCTTGGAACATGTTTGTGTTGCAACAATATAAATCCTCTAGCATCTGTGGCTCTCGAATAGCATTTGTGACCAGCTATCAGTTATACCATTACTCATGATGTATCATCCTTGGAGCCACTCATGGTCACACTCCCAGTGACTCTCAAAGGTTGTTCCTGTGCTTTATTGATGACGACCACAAATGTGTGTCTCACCCACAGTATGCAGGAAAATCTATAATATGACCATATCATAGCAACTGTTCAGAATTTTATGGTAATAGAATCTCATACCATCCAGAATCCCACTTCTGGGTATTGACCTGAAAAATCTATGCAACCTCATGTTTATTGAAGCATTGTTTGCAGAAGTTGAAAAAACCTAACTGCCTATCCACAGACAGCTGGATAAAGAAGATGTATAGACACAATGCAATACTCCTCAGCTATAAAATAAAGATGAAACCCTGCCATTTGCGACAACATGGATGCACCTAGAGTGTTATATTTAGTGAAATGAGATACACTGAATGGCTGCACATGTGTGTAGTGCATAGAGAAAACAAACCAACAAATGAATAAAATAACACCTTAATAGTTTTAAATTCTAAGATCAATTAGCACTTATTAACAAAAGGGAAGGAGAAAGGGGCGGAACATCGAGTTCAAGTGGACAATTATATGGTGAAAGATAGACTTGAAATTTTAGTGGTGAACTTAAGGTAGTAAATACGTCTGTTGATTTTTAATGATGTGCACTGGAAACAATATTATAATGCAATGTTACTTCAATTGAAAAAAGAAATTGTTAAACATTGTGGGGGGCCTCCCCAGTGGCACAGTGGGTTGAATGCCATGCTGTGAAGCTCTCTGCAGCCTCTGCAGTGTGGATTTGATTACCGGCCAGCTGGGAGATACCCAAATGGCGCAGCAGACCTCTCCTGCCTGCCTGCTGCTCCCCTCAGCAGTGGATTTCAGTAGATCTGCCTGTTTAGCCCCCCGCTCTGTCTCTGGTGAATCCTCTCACCCTCATGTGCCTCTGACCTGTACCCCAGCTCTTGTAAAAATAAATAAATCTTTAAAAAAAAATAGGGGACTAGCAGGCTGAAATCTGAGTTTCAAAGCTCCAGATATGCTCTTTCTGGCAAACAACCAATTAATAGCAGTTCAACAGTGTAAAATCTGAAGTATCATCAATGTAAACAGAAAATCCTGCTGCCAAGCCAAATTAAAATGGACTTTTACTTATTTATTGTCTCAGATTATGTGAGACAATGTGTCCCTTTAAAGGCAAGGATAATAATTCCTTAGAAATATTTTGCATTGTCCAGTCCTTAATTACAACATCCCTGGGAGTTCAGTACAACACAACACTTTTGTGTCTCAGTAGGAACATATAGTTCGGAGTTTTAGTGTTTAGCCTGGGTATTTTGACTTTCAGTGGTGAGATTGCAATTCTATCCTAGTCTCTCTTACTTCAAAGCGCATGCTTTGCCTGCTAATACTTGAGTATGTTAGACTATCTGACAATTTGTTACTCAGCATACTTCAGGTTTAACTGATTACCATTCTCAGTTTCCTCTATTTTTAACTCACATCCTGTTGGTAGTGAGTTACTATGGAGACATGACATATTATTGGTCTCTCTGTAGGATAGTGACCCGGCATATTTAAAAATGTTCTGGGTTTCTTAGCAACTCAACCAGTCTTATTCTCTTTGCCTTCATGGTCTGTTCTTTTCCTGCAGGAAATGAAACCTGGCTCATGAGTTAGCTTCAGTTGATGGCCATGGTGTTTTTCAAAGGAAGTGGGCTTTAAATATATTCCAATCCCACAAATGCTTGTCCTGTTTCTGTTGAAGTGTTTTTAAAAATGATTAGCAATGATGAAATAGAAAATGTTAATTTGGAATTCAAAGCTTCAATTTCTGAAAATTTCAATCTCTATCCCTTCCTTTGGATGACTTTTAATTCCTCCCTGAACTCATATATATATATATATGTATATATATATTTTTAATAAACTCTCTCTCTATATATAGTTTCCTCATATATGAAATGAAGCTTAAGATTATACCTCGCTTACAGGCTTAAAACAAATCAGAGTCCATGTGATGTGAAAGTACTCTGTGTACAACACCTGACACCATCTTGAGTTACTACTTTCACTGTTGATGCGAGGGCTCATTTACTTCTCTTCACCTGAGTGCCTGTTTTGTAAAGAATGCTAAGTCAGGGACTCAGGCTAGAAGGAGGTGATATGGCTCCTCCCCCTTGATCTCACACCATCCAATGGAAAGGAGAGAGATGCAGCGATCAAGCTACTCTGGTCAAGGTGAGTGACCAGGTCACAGGCTGTGGACAGGTAGCATGGAAGGGAGCACCTTACCTGCCAGTGGTAAGCAGCATGTTACAGAAGAGGAAGCATCGCAGTGAGCTGAAGTGGCTATGAAGGCTTCTGGAATGTTCACATACCTTAGAGGCACATAAAAGACCTTCTGTGAGTTGGCTGCTCCCTTCTTCTTGTGTGGCTTCACCTCACTCTCCTGCCTGTCACATCTACTGTATTCCAGGCATACAATGGTGAATAAAGCTACACTCAATATATGACACCAGAATCTATCTGCTCATAATCATAACTCCAGCACTCACTGGCCCTGTAAGCCTTAGTTTCAGTTTTTCCATCTGTGTGATGGCCCAGATCAAAATCATAGTTTAAAGTCACATTGAGAAGTCACCAGGGCAACGTCTATGATCCAGGATGTACTCATGAATATTAGCTCTTATTATTCTTACCTACTCTGTGAATCTGTTTTGCCTCCTGACTTTGTTCCTTTGCACCTGCTTTTCCTTCTGACTGGAGACCCATTTGGATGTATCTCTCCAGTGCCATTAAGATTCTAGTTCTATCCAGAGACACCACTTCTGGGAAGCCTTCCTTGATCTCCTTGATCTGTCTTATCTCCTCTTTCAATCACCTCCAGAACATTTGGACTCTTTAGTAAGTTTTAGTGTGTGTGCATGTCAGATTGTGTGTGTACCCATTATATATTATATATTTACTATAAAGTGATTACATTGCATTGTTCATTTCATTGTTTCCATTGTGGAAGTAAACAAAGACTAGCCAGATAAGAAAAGTGAAAAGATTATTTGAGACTTCTCTAGCTACCATCACCCTGTTTTTGCAGAGATGCAAAAAGGAAGACTGAAGAATAATAAAGTCTTATAGTGGAAAAAAGAGGTTTCAATTTTGTGCTGAGCAGGGGAAACTGTGAACAGGATAACTGGGAATGTGGTCACCCACATTTATAAATAAGAGTGCATATTTGGCCTTTGATTAGTCAATCTGGGACCAATTATTCTAGAACTCGGTATTTAACTTCCTGGATCATCATTAGAAATGGTGATCTAACTTCCTACAAATTTGACTCTTCATTTTCTAGGCTATTTGTAGATAACATTGTGGCAGTTGCTGTGAGTTATGAGTCAGGTTCTATTTTATATATTTGTGATTTGGCCACTGTCCATTTGGAAACTCGGTCTCTCAATATATTGTCTATTTAAACTTCTTGAGACCAAAGAACCAGTCTTAGGTAGCTATGTACTTCCAGCACCTGATAGTGGTAGACGTTGTGGGTTGATGGAAAGTAGGGCAGAAGAGAGAGACAAGGAAGATGGACAAGGAGAGGTGCAAAAAAGAAGAATGGGTGTAAGAAGAGAGTAAAAGGAGAACATTTCTGTGGCAGGAACGATGTGTCAAAGGTGAAAACTAAAAATGAACAATGATGTAATATATATATAAACATTAAAAAAAGGTGAGAATCACTAAGGTGGCTTGACTGGAAGCAATGATTATGGTAAGTGAAGAATGTTGAACCAAGTTGATCTATAATAATATCTAGAACTGCTTCCCCAGCAGGAAAGAGTCTCCGTAGGTAGCTGGGAGTTCAGAACAATGGGTAAATATAGCAAGGGGTGAAGATGATGCTGAAAGTGATGGGCACAATAGATCTCAAATACTTCAAACTGAAGTGGTACTTATAAAACAGGCAAATTTAGATCATGCTAAGGAATCACAGGCCTTACACAGCAAGGCCATACAGTGTCTCTCAGCTATTGTATTAGAATTCTTCTGGGTTACTAAAGAATTATCATAGCTGGCCTCCACCATGAACACACTGCACTGGAATCATCAAAGATGTGTTGGAATGACTTAAATCATTGAATCATCTGAGGTATGCGAAAGAATAATATCCCAGGTGGTTTTCATACCCTTGGGAGTTTGAGTACCAAGCTTCCGCTGGTTGGAAAAATTGCAAGCAACAGAGGGACTTTGATTTGTCTTTGGGGATGATTGCTCTGGCTGCCATGTGAATGTGGCCTTGGCGTTGTCAAGGCTTATAGCAGGAGACCAAAGAGAAAGCTAAATAAAAGCTGATGAAGCAAACAGAACAAGTCATAAACAAACATTGAAGCTTGACCTTCCTTCAGGACATGTTTTTATCCAGGAATCCTGAATCTCCTCCTCAGATGATTCAAATTATGACTAACATGGACATCCATGTATTCTCCAGCCTGGAAATTATTGTTATTCCTTATGTGTTAAGTGCCTTATTAAATTTTGGTTGGTAATAATGGTGATTCAAAAAGGTCCTTTCTTGGTTTGCAGGTAATACCCATGACTCAAACGTGAGTCAAAGGTACTTAAAGGCTTTATTCATGCTTCCCCGCCCCCATTGTTGATAGAGTTTTCTCAGGTCCTTTTATTTTTGATGCTTTTGAACAACCCCAAACCATATAATTAATTGCATTCCATTTCAACTGACACAATTAATTGATCTAAGCCAATCAACATTCTGCCTGGATGTAATTGGCCATCTACAACAATACTGATGGGAGGAGGGTTAGTCATGGAGAAGTGGCAGGTTAGCTGTGCTAACTTATTAGGCTGAAAATCTTTTGTTAAAGATCCCTGATAGACTGTGTCTTAAGGTGAGAGCTGCACAGTAGGTCTCGAGTTACAGCTGGAAAACTTGGTCCTAAATTTCTCCAATTTGTCAGACCACTGGGTCATTTTTGGATAAATTATGTAGAGTCTACACTATAGATTCATCTGCCAGCCCATGAGACTTAGTCATTTTTAAGACGTTAGAGTCAAAGATCAATTCCCTCTTAAAAGAATGGCGGAAGAGGGCATTTTGTTAGAATACAGGGGAAATTCAGAACTTGACAAGATGTGAACCAGGCTCGTGGGAGCGACGAGAGCCCCGGGCATCTACTCTCAATTTCTTTTTCTGGGACAGTACATTTTCTTATTTAATCTTTTCTCTGTGGATTTGCTCCATGTCCCCTGTAAACCAGCTTCATTGATGAGGCACTTATTTCTGATCCTCCATAACTTCGGCTTTGGGTTAACACTGTGTCAACTTCAAACTGAAATCCGATTGCCCTACTTGACCTTGGAGATTTGCTTCCCAAGTTCTGGTCTCAGACATGAGGCTTAACTGCAGGGCCAGAGTTGTGTGATTCATCCAATCATCTTCTACATTCCTTCAACAGAAGGGTAGGTAACTTCCAACAGGGAGCCTGAACTAGGTGTGTAGAAAGGTGATACAAGCAGATTAAGGTGACGGGATCAACTGTCTTAGATGTCTTAAGTACATACAGCCCAATCCATGGAACTTACTATTTAAGAGAAATCATCTCACCTTCCTACACAGTGTCTGCTTGTATCCAAAGCATGTTTGCCAGAGTGGAGAAACATAGCAACTCTGTCTACAGGAGGACAAAGGTGTCCTCTGGCTTGGACTCCCGGAAGGAAAAGAAGCCACTGTGTGTGTGTGTGTATACACATATACTCCTTTAGATATGTGTGGATATATGCGTGTGTCCATGAGATAAAAATCTCCAAGCCCTCTTGAGCCAGGCTCCTGCAGGAGAAATATTTGTGTTGGGTATGAAAGAAATTCTCCCATCCTCCTTTTGTGCATGCACACACACACACACAAACTCCCCTTCCATTAATTTTTGTTTAATGGGTTACCCAACAAAGAAAGAATTTACAACGTATCTGGAAGAGTTGGTTGCAACTATTTTTTGCATCTGCTTTGTGGCAGTCTCTGTGTTGTCTACTGAATATACAATTATAAATGTGAGTGAGGGGCATAACCTTTTATTTTCAAGAACTTGAAATTCAGTTAGAGAAGATAAACAAAGGCAATACAGTAAGAACTAAGAAATTAGAGCTTATGAAATTATGGAGCACAGAGGACTGACATGTGGGTAGATATAGGACCATAAACTACAAGAGCCAAAGTCAAGGACACACTGAATTTAATTCTGTGGTTTAGAACATGGAAGCACATAACATCCCTCATTGTTAAAATAAAAAATGTTGCTATATCATGAGACACAAGTATTAAAATTAGGGTCTCTGGATGTGAGGTCAGGCATTTGCATTTGTTAAAAAGTCCTTGGATAATTTTAATTAAAACCAAGGTTAATAAACACTAATTTAATATAGTAAATGGTCACTGTGCACCTATTATGGGTCAGGTTCCAGTCTACTTTCTGGGATACAAGACAGAGATGGAGGAAGAACAACTTTTGTTTTCAGGGAATTTGTCTCCTAGTAGTGATGAACATGCTCACAAACTATTGTAAAATAATGTGAATGATTAGTGACAGAGGGGTATCTGGGGGGAATGGCTGAGCTGAGTAACGTATGTGCAGAAGAGAAGTGGAATTTCAGGTAAGACTACAAAGAGGTGATGAGAAATTGGCCACAGCAAAAGAATAGCTGGTGTGTCTCCCTGGAGGCACAAGGGGTTAGGTCTCAGCACTATGACGTTATCGGCAGCCACTGCAGCATGAGTTTGATCCCCACCAGGGAGCTACCCACACGGCTCAGCAGACCTCTCCTGTCTCCCTGCTACTTCCCTCAGCAGTGTATTTCAGTAGCTTTGTCTGTTCTGCTCCCCACTGTGTATCTGGTGAATCCTCTCACCCCCGCACCTCTGGTTTACACCCCAGTTCTTGTATGCGTAAATAAATAAATCTTTTTTAAAAAAAAAGAATAGGTGGTACAAAGAACACGACATCTTCCAAGGCTACTCAAACAATTTGATGTCTTTTGTTGTCACGGCTAATTGGGAAGAGATAGGATTTGAGACTTAAGAGATAGTCAAGGCCAAAATAATGGAAGAGTTTGAACACCATGCCGAGAGAATTGACTTACTGTGTATTTGGGGTCTTTTATAACAGAATCACCTGATACAGCACCATCTAACCATACCTTTCAGGGCCCTATCAAAGACCTACAGAGTCAGATTCTTTCAGGTTGGGGTGGGGGGAAGAAGTTCCACAGGGGATTTTAATTATTCCCTACTTTTGAAAACTGTTGTTGTGAGCTATGGAGACTCATGGAAAGACTTTGTCAAAGAAATGGCACCTTGGGGATTGTTGCCAAACTTGCCATTGTAAAATGTCAGAGTCCTTTGGAAGCCTAACCTGCTTACACCTCCACCACCCTTAGCTAGGCCTGGCATTCTTGCTGTTGGAGGGATTTGAGAGTTCAGAGCCATAGAGTGAAACGGAAGTCTCAGACTGCATTGTGAACTCTGCTTTGGAGTAGGTGTTTTCTAAAAGGGATGTCAGGGTAAGAGAGATGATT